CCCCAAAACCCCAAAACCCCAAAACCCCAAAACCCCAAACAACTTCTCTCCCCTTGAAACACCAAAACACTCAACCCACCGATCCCTCTGCTCCTAAAACCTCCTTCTCCACCCTCTCCCAGCCACTTACCCCTATCACCCCTACTTCTCCATCCTCCCCTCTACTCTTCTCGCCTACCTCTAAACCCTTCTTTTAGCCATTACTACTTGCACTCAGAGTACTTCCTGCGGACCCTAACTTTGGGGTTAAAGAAGTCTTTGGAAGGGGATAAGTGTATTATGAAAGAAGGTTTCGATATTTAGGAGCTTTTTTGGCCTCTTTTGAACCTTCGGCTAGTTCTTCCATCTTCTTTTGGTACTTATTGCCTGTGGCGAATTGGTCGGATACGAAGTCAGCGTCTTTTATGTATTTTGAGTATTTGTTCATTTGTTGAGAGAATATAAGTTCGTAATTTCCTCAGTTATTAAATTCAAATTCATGCCTCTGAAGGTCGTATTCATCTTTAATCTGCTTTCTCTCTTCAGGAGTGTACTTAGTTTTATTTACCAGTAAATATTCTGTGTTGAGTCGACCTCAGTTCTTCAGATTTGTATTCAAATTTTCTTTTAACTGACAAGTTTAATAACTTGAATGTGTCTGTAATTAAATCATGCTTAACTTGATAATCGAGCGGAGAATCTGTTGCAAAGGAAGGAGCATGGTTTACTTCAAGAAGATAAGGCTCAAGATTGTCATCTACCATAACATCAAATCCTAAAATCTCAAAACAAAGAGAATTTTCAAGATCATCAGGCTGTGATGATTTGTATGCATGATTAACATGATTTCTAACAGTAATCATAGTTTTTACAATAATACTTTTGATTCTTTTAATAAGTCATTCTGTATATCTCTGTCCAATCTCATCTGAGAGAAGTTCCCAGATAGACTGCAGACTTCTCTTATGGGCCTTCCCTTCAACATCAAATTGGTTTTCGTTACAGAAGCCTGTGTTATTTTTATTTATCGAGTAATTTGTGAGATGCATATATACATTGTTCATGTTTCCCTTCTTCGGCACTTCGTATTCCTCAGTGCTAAATCTTGCCATTCCATCTTTGTACATGTAAATTCTTAAAGGGTCTATTCCTAGTACTAGGACATAGATTCTGAGATCAAACTTTAAGTTATCAATTAGAAGTGGATTCTCTACATATCTCTGCACTATTCAAGGGTTTATCTTATTGATAGATTCTATGTTCTTTATCAGATAGAGTCCCTTTCCTTGAGACATCATCTCTGGCTTCACAATGAATGTATATTTCCCATTTTTAGTAAAGTTCTTTAGATCATGAAATTCTGACGGAAGCACCCAAGTCTGTGGGAAAAACGAATATCCATTCGGATGGATTTTTGCCATTCTATTAAGATTCCTTGCGAGGTAGGCTTTGTTCGAAACCTGGCTCATTCCAGGGAAATGATTGATTCTCTGAAAGTTCTTTAGCTTTGCTAAAATATTGGCAACTGGAGGAAGGTCAAACCAAATTATATCATATTCCGTTTTGTCAGTTCTAGTTACTTTATAACCAAGTTCTTCAGCCACCTTTGCAAGGATATCATATTGAGTGTATTTAAGGTTGATTATGACCTTGTCTTTCTTCTTTGGCTTCACTGAAATTTTGTTAAGTCTTGAGGTTATTCTAGCTTGATAGAGACCAACTTTGCATGAACTTTCAGTTGTACTATTTCATCTTCTTTTTGAAATTGAGAGAGGGTCTCTAAAGTTATCGGTTGGTTTAGATCCATTCTCAACTTTCTCTTGATTAAAAGCAGGTTTGATAATCTCTTTTATAGCTTGGCCAGTTGTTAAGCCATCTTTAGTGGCAGAGAATCATTTCTTAGTTGTTCCATTAAGAGACTTAACTGAGTTAATTTCTTTAGATTTGTCCTATATATTATTCAAACAACAACCTCAGGACTATTTTTGTTCTGGAGTTTTGGCTTGGGTTTGGGAATTTTGTTAGTAAAGCTAGTCTTTGTAGTCGATTTCTTGATTATATCTCTTGAAACCATTCTCTTATTTTCTAGTCTCGGAATAAATAATCTTTTTCCTGATTCCTATTCAGTCAGCTAGGTTTTGTGAATTCCTTCTGACCTCATTGTCTATACTGAATTAACGTGTCAGAGGTGAAATTTTGAATATTATCTTTGTTATCAGCCCAAATCAAATCACTTAAAACTAGGGAAAGAAGGGTAATCTAAAAATTAGAATTATAAGGCGAAGATGCTAATTTAGAAAGAGGATGAATACCTTTCATTCCATCTTGCAATGCCATTTATACCGAAGGTTTTCCTCAAAGGTTCTGGTCTCTCTTTCTGCTTTGAAAAAGCGTTTAATAAGAAGAATTTCTGGGAAGTTACATAAGGAGATCTGATCAATTTCCCTCTATTTGGCTTTGAATTTGATGATGAGCCTGGGAAATGAGTATTTGACATTTTCATTACTAAATTTTATTTCATTTTCTCTCTAGAAATTTGGGGTTTTGGGGTTTTGGGGTTTTGGGGA